TTCAGCTGCTCTTATACATCATTTAAGTAAAATCTCAGGAAGATCAATAGTTTTGTAGTTCGAATTTTAGTGACGTCATGTGAAAACCAGCTATTGAATATGGAAAAACGCAGACACGCTTTTTTAGCGCTTTTTATCCTGAAACTGAGGAAAAACATAAATTGGCGAAAAACAAAATTCGCTTTGACTTGTAGCTGTCAAAAGGTGATTATATTAGGACGCTTCCATTTAGTGGCCGTGAAAAAATCGGCAATTCATTTTATTTCAAAATTTTTGGTATGGTTTGATAGCCAGCTCTATAAGCTTTAATTTGATATAGGAGTTTAGGTATCTACAGCTTAAATCGGACGCGCTACATCGCTTGTACGCGAGACACCCCTGAAGGTATACGGTAACCTTAATGTGCAGTGAATAGCGGTTGTCTTTAAAATGGCGACATTTTCTTGCACCTATTTCGTACGTATAGGAGAAAGATTTAGAAATATTGTTGGTTATTGATCCATTCCCAAGAAGACTAAAGAAAGGAAACAGACTGTTATTAGCGTTAAAACTTCAAAATTGTCGAATGACCTCATCAGCTCGCGCAAACAGCCATAAGTTTCAAACAGACAGATCAATCCACGCGCTATATGTTTGCTAAGGAGTAACTGGGAATTGGTATTTAAAGGAAATATGTTTAGAATTCTGCTAGAACAGTATACTTACTTCATGATATAAATTATCAGCTCATAATCTAGTTGTTAGTATTTCTTATTAAAGCGGTTACCTGTTCGTCGGAGATCCCGCCGGGAGTCATTCTAAAAAAACAGCCTTCCTGTAACAACAGGTACAAATCGAAGTGCGTGTTTACCTATCAAGATGGATTTGTCATGAACAGGAAAGAAGGGACGGTACAGATTTTAGATCCGTACTTTCTATCGAAAGGAAACCCCATCAAATATACAGGTACTATTAGTAAATAAGACATAGAATCTTTTGTTGCAATTGCCGATATCTGCAATTACAATGTTAAAGTAAATGTGCGAAATCTACGAGGTATTTGAGGTACCATGAGCTTACTTCTACTTTTATCTTATTTCAATGACAAGTTTTAACCTTTATGCAATGGTTTACGTTTACGTTGATTGGCTCTCGTCTTATTTCAGGCAATTTCACTAACTGTTTGAAGTTATGAAATCGACCACAAAGTAAACATCTACTCCCTCGCAGTTGGTTTATATGGAAAATCGGGTTCCGCTACCCTCTAAGATCGCAGAAGACTAGAATCACCCTTGTTTAAGTAGGGTCAGCTTAGTGTCTGGTTTTCCTTGTTCGGTTTCTCTATAATTTGAATTCCACTCTGGATTTTTCAGTCTAACCATGTTAAGAACGACAGAGGTGTCAAAATCTTTTAAAAACAAGCATTATGCCGATAACGAAAACATGATGTTATTTTATCGCGAGGCATTTCCTGTTTCTTATTAGTTTGTGTGTTGTGCTCTAATCTGGTAACAATGGAAGTCTCCTGTCCAATGGAAAATGGGCGCGTGTCGAAGTTAAGTACAAAAGGTTGGTTATCTCGTACACGCAGCCCCTTTCCACTATTGCCATTATCGCAAGAAAACTTTTCTGCTTTTTAGCATTCAGACGTATTAGTTTTTTTCCCCTCCACCTCCCCGGTAACCGACCCGCAGACTGTCAACATATCTTACATAGTATTTTACTTTAGTTTTTACAGGTGGCGAAAGTTTTAACTCCACCTTTCCTGAAGAGATTTTAATCTTTGTTTGTAACGTTAGTTTCAATTAAACTTGTCACATTTGTGGCCATTTATCCCAAACGATTCGTTTCTATTGTCTTCTACCTATCTCTCCAGCAAACTAGTGCGGCGCCTTGCGGAGCTCTCGATGTCTTAATGTTTGCGAATGACTCAAGATAAAATACCTTTTAAGCAACTGTTGTAATTGTAGTGTCTGACTTATTTGTCAGCACTTTTCATCATATTTATAATGAGTGCCAGTGCACGCCATTAACAATGCCACCCCGCCACTTTGATTATTATTGTCAAGGAAGGGAGTTCTGGGTGAACTTTTGTCCCTGTTAGGTGACACACGAGAGTCTAAAAGTAGTAAGTAATTTCAGGCATACTATTCCTTATATTGGTTGACCGTCAATAAATGAAATAGTTGTTGCATATATAGTTACATACAGGAGACCATACAATTCATTACGCTAATACTTTTACGTGTTCTCCTAGCCTCCCCATGAAGTTGAATGACGTAATAGTGCGAAAATGAAGACGAGTCTTTTCCCTCGTACTTGAAAATAACGCAACACTTTACTTGGTACAATATTTTCCGTCTTTTCTAAGCTTCAGATCCTTGTGCTATGATGCCTTGTTCTCTTGTTCTATAAAGTTTTTTTTTTTTTTAACTTCTTCCACAAAAACATTCATTCTGTAGCTCCTTGTTAAGAGAGATTTTTTTTTTTTTTTTCCGGCCTGAGGTGACTTTAAACTGGCTTGATATTAGTGCACATTTAACGCGAAGACGAACCTCAATTCTTGTGACGTTCTCTTTTACAGCAAAACCACATCAAGGGATATTTTCATTCAAAAGTTGCACAAATGCGTTAAACTTGGATATATCTCTTTTGATCATTTCGCAGCACAGTAGATCTAAAAAGGGTGTGGCAATGCAACAGAACGATTCCATACTCTTTCGTCTTTGTTCGTTTACATATTTCAGCTGGTTATTTCTCCACGGCTGGACAGATAGTCCACGGATGTCTTCCGTAACATAGTACGGGAGAAATCCCTCAAAATCTCTTTAACCGACATTAATGTTTGAAAATGTCACAAAAACTTTACCATATATAAAATAGCAATACAAGCTGCCAAACTGTACGCGCGTTTAGCTATATTTCGCGGCATTACCTTAATGTTTATTTCGCCAATAAGGAGTTTTCTTATGTAATGCTCTATTGTGTCCATATGACCAATCATGAGTCTTGTATTAAAAGAATTAACTAGAACTTAGGCCTACACTAAATTATTACAGCAAGATGTCGATGAAAAATATAAGTGAATATATGAAAGTTCATGTATTTGAACTGCGGAGAATGATACGAAGATATTGATCATCGCAGTTATGCACATAACTTAAGCAGTTTCCTAGATTTCACCAAAATGTGAACTCGTTGGAACCTTTAAAGTATGTTTCTGAAAATAGTCCACCGAAAGGGTCTTTTTGACGCAATAAAAGAAAATTCGAATTTTCGTTCCTGTCGTCAAGTACGTAGGCCCTCGACAATTCATTTAGTGCTGTTAATCAGTATCTACGAAGAATATATACAATTAAGGGGGCACGAATTCTCGAAGTCATCCCTTTTTAGCAGAATGCATTGCA